GGCACGGAGACAACATGCTGGAGGGCAGCGACAAGGTAAGGACGTTCACAGTGCTGCGTCTCTTAACTCGTCAACCTGATGGATCGGACTTGGGGCTAATTGTTTACTTTGAATCTGTCTGTAGATGAGCTGGTTCAAGGGATGGAAGGTTGAGCGTAAGGAGGGCAATGCCAGTGGAACCACACTGCTGGAGGCTCTTGATGCCATCCTGCCCCCTGCCCGCCCCACCGACAAGCCCCTCCGTCTGCCCCTGCAGGACGTCTACAAAATCGGCGGTAAGAACTGAGCAATGTTTTCTTACTAAAAGACAACGGTATAACATAAAACTCATCAAACACAGGAGTTTCTTGCGTACTTAACAATACATTTCTCCCTCAGGTATCGGAACCGTACCCGTCGGCCGTGTGGAGACCGGTGTCCTGAAGCCCGGTATGGTCGTCACCTTCGCTCCCCCCTGCCTGACCACTGAGGTCAAGTCTGTGGAGATGCACCACGAGTCTCTGCCCGAGGCTGTCCCCGGCGACAACGTTGGCTTCAACATCAAGAACGTGTCCGTCAAGGAAATCCGTCGTGGATACGTTGCTGGCGACAGCAAGAACGACCCACCCAAGGGAGCTGACAACTTCAACGCCCAGGTTGGTATCGTGAACGGCTCGAAACGGCGCCACTTCTGTTCTGGGTCGAGTTGCATTTGGGGTTGAGTTCTAAATCCACGATGTGTCCACAGGTCATCATCCTGAACCACCCTGGCCAGATCAACGCTGGTTACGCCCCTGTGCTGGATTGCCACACAGCCCACATCGCCTGCAAGTTCAGCGAGCTGATCGAGAAGATCGACCGTCGTTCTGGCAAGAAGCTTGAGGACAGCCCCAAGTTCGTCAAGTCTGGAGACGCCGCCATTGTCAAACTGATCCCACAGAAGCCCATGGTTGTGGAGCCCTTCTCCAGCTACCCTCCCCTCGGTACGTATCTGTAGACACTCGACACCGTTTATACATAACTACAGAATGAAAAGCCGGGATCCAGTGCGCGAGTGTGGTTATTAACTGCTCACCCGTCTTCTATTTCCAGGTCGCTTTGCCGTGCGTGACATGAGGCAGACGGTGGCTGTCGGTGTCATCAAGGCTGTGGAGTTCAAGGAAGTATCCGGAAAGACAACCAAGGCTGCAGAGAAGGCCCAGAAGAAGAAATGAATGGTCGTGCAGGACATCCAGCAACGAGATGTGTGCCGGCAGCAGCGGGCCACCCCTTACCCCCTTCATCCCCCTTCTGGATCATCTTCTTTGAGGCAAAGTTCTCTACTCAAGGACTGGCTTATGCTGATTAAAACCCATCGCAAAAGTTTTCGCAGGAAAAAAGAACTACGTGGTATTGTCACTTACCTGAATCACATGACAGTGCTTCTTCTCAGTTAAGTTTTAAGTTGGAAATGGTTTAGAACTGTATCTTGATGTTAAAAATGCCACATTTAATTGGAAAGAAAGCTGCTGGTAACTAATAAAATAAATGTCTTTGAAAAAATTGACATTGGCTCGTCTTTGTCCTTTTGCTGTCTGCAGTTGGTGTTGGGGGGGATTTTTTTTTTAAGCTGTCACAGGCGAGCCTCTCTGCGTTGCAGCTGTTTTTGACCATGCTATCTTGTGTGCAGCGATACACTCGCCATCCAATCGCCTCGATAGGAGTTATGCCGCCGCAGCCAATAGCACCCCTTATTTTAGTCTGACAGCAACAAGAGCATGCACAGCCCTCCCTCTCCTCTGCTTCAGTATAAAAACACAGGACGGATCACATTCTGTCCTTTTTTCCCTCCGCTCTAAATCAGGGGACGTCTTTACTTCCTGGGCACAGGTTGGTGAAATGTCATCTGCTTTAATCTGTTAAGGCTTAAACTGGAGCTAAAATGCATGTTAATGCAGGAGCTGAAGGGTTATATTCTGGGATGGGCATTTAAGTATCGGCGTATATTGCTGAGTCTGAATATCAGTCTCAATGTGGGCTAGAAAATAGATGCTTGCATGGCTGTCGTAGATAATTATTACATATAATAGGTAAACATGCTGGCTCACCTCCTGCATTTCTTTTCCAGGCTTTGTTTGGGATCTGGTGATTATATTTCGGCTTTATTTAAAGGCTTAATTAACTGTCTTCCTCCCCCAAAAAAAAACAACAACGCGAATCATAAACTGCAACCATGAACTTGGACTACAAAGGAGTTGCCAGAATTTTCTTTCTGCCAGTCATGGTAGTCCTTTTTCTGTCTCCACCCTCGTGAACGCGCATCCCTTCCACCCTCTGCTGCCTTTAGCACAGTGTCGCTGTGTTCGTGAGCGCGCTTGCATCAGTCGGTAACATGGCGGCTCTGCGCTCCCGGCGCAACATGGAGGCCGCGGAGCCGGTATCGAGCACATGGCGCGTGACTCATCGGTGTCGCCTTTCCGGTGACGGGCACGAGCACCGAAAATGACTTTTTTAGGAAATAGGTGTTTCCTTAACTTGTGCGTCGCGTTTAAGTTGGAAATGATAAAAGACAACAGTAGATGCGTTTTAACGTAGTCTTGGTGAACGGCTACTGTTGGCTAGGTAACCCAACTGTTTCACCATAGAGATCTGTACATGCATATATATATATATAACCGCCGCATTGGCCTTGTTGCTGGGATACGTTATGTCGTCGCCATATCGGACCCGACAGGACTGACTTATAAGCAAATACTTCATTGAGTCACTTTTGTTGAAGTTATCCTCCATATACATATATATGATACGCATTTAAATATGAACGTCATTGTGCTTTTTTTTTTTTTTTATCCAGAAAACAAAACTTGTATTTTTTGCTTATGGGCTAGTCTTGCCCGATGTAATATGGCGGCGACGTTGACGTATCCCAGCAACAAGGCCAATGCGGCGG